CCTCGGCAGCTTGGGCCACCCTGGCCCCAATCACTGGCATTTGACGGGCTGCCACCTGGGCCTACCCGTCTCCCTTCATGAGGCGTTACAAGATCGACATATTTGCCTCAGCGGAGGCCTCGTTTGGCAGATGAGTCCTACAGCAGGTCCTCAGGACCCGAAGAGGCTCCTGAACCAGACAGAGTCTCTCCCGTAGGACAGCCAAGCTTTGGTATGTCCCACTCTCTGGATGATCCGAGTAGCTCTAAGGAGAATGGGCGTTGGTTCTTACCTGACACGCCATTTCTCTTCAAGCTGCGAGGATCATCCAGCCCCACCCTTATCTTTCACCGTCTGGTGGGGTCTTGTTTCGGCCAATGAACCCTTAAGTCTAGTAAGATGAGAGTACGAATTTCTCTTCCCTCTCGCCTTCGCATAAACTGGGGAACGCTGTAATGGAGCCACGTGATGGAAGGAGGAGCGTTCCTCAGTAATTAAGCTCAGCCTACAACAACGCAGACTGAAGCACCTCCCACTCTCTGGATGATCCTCGCAGCTTGAAGAGAAATGGCGTGTCAGGTAAGAACCAACGCCCATTTTGTTTACTTATCTTGTTTACTTCAGCAATCCCTGTAACTTTCACTACTTAATAATGCTTCTCAAAATTAAAGTTGTTAGCTGGAAACGTTCACAAATATTTTTTTTTATAGCCTCCCTCTGCTTTATAAATAAATTATGTTCATTTTCAAATATTCCAAGCAGGCAGCAACTGAGAAGAACTGTTGGTTGTTGAAAGTAAACAGAACAGTCACAATATGAGAAGTTAGAAGGGTTAGAATATTTGCTTACCTGTGGAGTTGTCTTCACTTGAGTAACTGAAGGCTAACAAATCAATAACTTTTTGGAACTTTAACAATTCGATGATAATAAAATAACAATGAATTTGGTCTGAAACTTAAATGTTGGTGGTTATTCTTAAACTACTGCTCATAATAAGCATGAGTTCATATTTGCAGAACTTTTGTTCCATATAGAAGTTGTATCATTCTGTACACTAAGGAAATTATTGAAATAAGCAATTTGACCAGGCATGCATAAACGTTTGCATACAACTTATATTACTAAACGTTCACTGAACATTTTTTGTGTGTTTCCAGTCTCAAAATACCATAAAATCACATTGGAAATGTTTATCAAAAATGATCAGAATGGCAAAACTCCCTGCTTTGTAGGGCACATGTGCTTGTAGCTCTAAATTGATTTGTGCTTTAAATGCTACATGCAAGTCTTTGTCCCAGAACCCTTCCTTCCCAAACAATGCAGCAAGAAATAAAGATATTAGACATGTTTGCATAATGTGGCTGACCCAACCAGCTGCTCTCCTGATTACTCATCCCAAACACAACATGATCAAGAGTCATCTGGGAAGCAGCCATTTTCTGTGCCTTCCAAATTACTGCAAAGGAAAATAGAATGTGTGTTTTGGCATAGGATATTTTTTGGGGGAACAAAACCTTCTCCCACCCTTAGTGTAAAAATCCTCAGTGTTTCAATTGAGAACAACACCGAACGGAATCTTTACTCCTTTGAACTCTGAGCAAGATGATGTCATTTGTTCCTAACAATGCCAACTTATAAACATCTCTGGGCAAGCAAAATTTGGATTTCCATGTTCCATGCATGCCAAACTGGTTTGATGGGATGTATCAGGTAATACATGTGCCATGGAAATAAAATATCCCTCTTCTGCACAGGTAGAAGATATATTTCATTCATGCACTTCTCAAATTGCCTCTTCCAGTGCTTTTCCCTGCCCTTCAACACACTACTGCTTTGACGTTATTGCCTTTGCTTCCTAGTTATAAGAAGTTTGATTAAAGAGTTCTGAGTCTTCTTGATGAGAAATAATCTGTTACTAAATGAAATTAAATCCGTGGTGTAGAGATGGACTAATTTTCACACTATTTGCCTCTTTGGAAAAAAAACAGAGTTGGAATAAGGTTGGAATCACATCAGGTTACACAAGAGAATTATTTGGCCATGTCATTTTGTATGGTGGATATGTTATGCCCTCAGGTGGCAAAAGCTGGAATTTATTCACACAAGACACAATAATTAGAAATTAGGCTTTGAGATGATATAGTCTTGCAAACTGTATTTTTTCTACCTGAGGCTGTCTTTAACAAAACATTAATGCAATAATGCAGGGCAATATCCTCTCCTTGTCTGTCTGTATTATACATGCATTTCATCTTTATTTCAAGACCAGTATAAAGCACTTTAAAAACATTTTGCCAGATTTTTTTTAATTTTTCTCTCTCTGCTGCTGGATAAAGCTGCTTGAAGGAGATTTGCTCATTCACAAGCTGGTTGACAGGGATGAAAATGTAATTGCCCCATTAGGGTTTTCTGAGTATTTGCATATCTTTCTACTGAATGTTGAACAGAACTCATATGAATCCTAGTAATACGTAAACAAACTTTGAGAACACAGATAACACTGAAATTTGATGTTGTTGCATTTATTTTATAAATAAAAACATCTAAGTTAGGGTTTGCAAGTATGGAAAATAATGTCCCTTTCCATGTTTTATAAACTGGGATAAGTAGGGCCAGCCCTTTTTTGAACATTTGCAGCTGTCAGCCTGGTCCCATAACAATTGTAGAAACTTTGGGTCCCCTCATTATGTTGAAGTTCCCACTACACAGATTTAGAGTCATATTAGGCTCCTTCAAAATAAATAAATGAATTATTAATATTCTTTAGACTGGAAGTTATAGAACCATTTCAAAAATCTCAAAATGTCTTGAAAGGGAAATAGTGAATAGTGAGACTTTCTTAGAATTACTATTCTGTCAAACTATTCCCAAGTTCAATGTAACTTTGTCAATGAAGTCACATACAATCCCAGAACAATATCTAAGGATCTACCGCGCCTAAATTGCATAGAACTGTTGTGGCAGCATCAGAAATAAGCATTTATTGCTAGTAAACCACATAATATTACTGAGTTGAAGCAGTTTGCTATCTTGGAATGGCCAGAAATCCTACATAATGATATGATTACATTAAATTAAAATTAAGTCAGGTAGTGGAGGTGCAATCAATTACTGAATCTGAGAGGGTGATTACATTTTCAATGGCACTTCAGTTCTTTCAGCAACACTTAGGCCCAGTACATTTTATGAAATTGCTTAGCAATGTTTTCAATTTTTGTGGTTTTTTATGTATTTTAAATTTTACAACATGAGCTTCTTTTTATTGCTTCTGTTGTGGGTTTTTTTGACAGCATATTTTATAATGCTTATAATTTTTATATGTCACCTTTTTCCCTCCAATATGGTAGCTGGGTAAAATAATAAAATAAAATGATGTCTAACTTTGTATGGAAAGTAAATGAAAGAGAAACTCAGTGTTTTGTTAAATCAAATTTCCTTTTATATCTGTATGACCCACATGAAGCTCCTATACATTCACTGTCAAAGATATGTAAAGATTCAGAAAGCCCTAAAGAGATCAATTACTTTTGCAAAGCTATCTTCCTTGATAGCTATTTTGCAAGGATGGGCGTAACATAATCTCAACATTTTCTGTGATATTCACCACTCTGAAATAACTTGGAACATTAAGTTCACAAACTCCTTTAGTATCATTTTCCCTATCTTTTAGCTATTGTATCTTTCATTCTACACAGAAGAGAGAAGAAACTATCTTCACAATACTTAAGAATAGTGATTGGAATGACTAGTTGGGGCCACTTTATCCTTCCTTCAAACTTTGCGAGGAAGGAAAAACAAAAGGAGCTTTAAGATAGTGAGATGATTCCATCTTGTGACAAGAATTTACTTTCTCCTCACTATTCCCTTTTCTGGCTCTGATTTTATAGAGGTATGAAAAAAAAAAACCAAATAGATCTTACATATTTGAGGTCTTCCCGAATGTGTCTGCCTGCCTGCCTGTCTCTGTGTGTATGTGTTTTGAAATCCTCTTGTTAGTTTTGTAAAAAGGCTTCCACTATTCCAAAGCTTCCTCTGCCATGGTGCCCAGGCTCTGAGATATGTCACTTTTTTTAGTTAACTTTTTTTTAAAAAAAATGTTGCCTCTGAAATCAGTACTACCCAGATAGTTGTATGGGAATATAAATTCTTACAGTTAGGGTTAGGGTTGGACATTCTTGTATTTTTTAAAAAGTTTGTTCATATAACTAAAAAATAGAGAAAAAGACTTAAAATGCAATCAGATGTGACTTTGACAAATCCAAGCAACCTCAGATGCCTCCCACATTGCTAACATCTCTGGTTTGTACATTTTTCTTTCTTGTATTTCTGCCTCTAGAAAGTGTTCCCATTTTATTGCAATTTTATCACATCCCATTTTTTTTCCTAATCAACAGTCATTTTGCTGAAGGCAGTTTCTTGCTAATAGTGTATTTTATTTCTATCTTTTCTTTATTGGAAACTGAGAACAACATAAGCAGTTATTAAATACACTGGATATAATTCTTTATACAAGTTATAGTTCAATCATTTTAGATATAATCTAAATCCAGAGTGGTCTAAAATAGAGGTCCCCAATCCCTGTGCTGCAGCCCACTACTGGGCCATGAGCTGTTTGGAACCAGGCCATTGAAGCAGTGGGCGAATGCATGCATCCGCTACTTGTGTGAGCAGCAGCAAGCATGTGTGTGCATGCTCCATTTGTGTGAGTGGCATGTGCACATGCTTGCCCACCAGTCTCATGGAACAATCCCCCCCCCCCCCATCTGCAAAGCTGGAAAGATTGGGAAACTCTGGTCTAAAAGAGGCTGGCAAAATGAGACATTGGTAGCATTTATGAAGAAGCAAAATGAGACATTGGTAGCATTTATGTTTCTAAGCCTTTTTGAAAATGAATCTGGTTCTAGCAAGCAAATAATATAAAATAATATAAAAATATGGAATATTGAAAAGAAATAAGAATCCTCAAACAATCTTCAGCTCATATTAAAAAAAAATCTTTGTCTTCACTTTGCCTTTTGCAGAAATACAGGGTCAGTCACGCTTGGATGGATCCCGACGAGGCACTGGGAAAGATTGTCCATTCTGTGGAAAGTCTTTCAGATCTTCCCACCATCTCAAAGTTCACCTCCGTGTCCACACAGGTAAGAGTCAGGAGCGGCAACATGGGGTAAGTAAATATGGAAGTAGATGGTAAGGTTCATTTGCCTACAACTTAAACTTTCACATTAAATCATCTCTTTAAATCTAAATGATGCTGTATTGAAACTAATCCTCTTGAAGGTATACTACAAGAAGACCATTTGGTTCAGTGTCCAAATTGGGTTAACAACACCCTTCCTTCCATTAGCATGGTATATAACCAGAGCTGTCTTTAAGGACTGGAATTGGTGAGTTTCTGCTCTGAGATTCTTCACAGTTGTTGCAAGTTTATTTGCGTTTTCTCTGTGCATGTATCAGTAATAAGACTGAGACCAAAAAGCAGTAGTTTTTACTGCTCTCAATGGCTCCCTCTCAATGGCTGTATTTACAGGGTCTAGAGGCAGTGGCAAGCAAATGAAAAATGCTGACAGCAAGTTAAGCTGCATTGCTCATGGGCCTCTTCACACTGAGCATCATCCAGATAGAAGTCACAATGCATTAGCCCAACTGAAATGTATACTATTAAAATACTCTTATTTATTCTAGTAGAGGTTTTGCAAGATGACTTCTGTAAGGATATTTAGGTGTTTTTGCAGTCCTCACTTGTCTTATGGCAGGGTCCCTCTTAATCTCTCTAGATATTTTTAAGGCAGTATTTCACTTTCCCCCTTTCCTATCTCACAGACTGTTATAAAGAGAAAAGATACCGTGTTTTCCCGAAAATACAACCTGTCCCGAAAATAAGGCCAAGCCTGATTTTTTGGGTGGGTCTATATAGCTACCATCCCCCCAAAATAGGCCCTAGTGAAGGGGGTGGGCGTGGCCAGCACAGGAGGCAGCCCAGCCCTTCCCTGGTCACCTCAAGGCTGCTGGGCCCCTTAATCAGCTGATCAAGCGAGGGCCGGGAATTCTAATTCTGTCTTTCCAGGTGCCTGGAGATATTTCCAGCGCATTCTTGCTAGCCCCAGCCCTGCCCACAGCGCTAGGCACCCTTGCATTCCGCAGGTCACCTTGTGGCTATGGAACAGCTACGATAGAAGCAAATTTCAGCCTGTACCTTTCAAGCGATCAAATGTCTGTATGAGAGAGAGAGAGAATGAGAGAGAGTGAGAAAGAGAAACGACGGAGGGGAGTAACAAGAATTGCTGTTTGAAAGAGTTTCCTCTCCACTATTTCTCTTTTTCTCTTTTCTCTCTCTCTCTTTCTCTCTCTCACACACACTTACTTGATGAAAACAGCAGGGAGCAGGCAACAGGGTAGGGAGACTAACCCTCCCTTGCCTCCAGCTCGGCGCCTGCTCAGGGTGGCGCCCCGAGGCCCAGCCTCTGCGTGGGCAACCCCCGCATGTCCAATGAGAGAAATGGGCTCCCTCACAGTGCCTCCTCTCTGGGCCTCGCCTGCCTTTGAAGCCTGGGACCCTGCAGGCATCCCAGCCACGTAAATGCTGCCCAAATCCCCGCAACTCAAGTGAGCCATGCAGCTGCTTCACCCGCCTGCCTGGCTACTGCACCTGGGCCTGCTGGGCACTGTTCATCCCAAGCCAACCAGGGAGGCTTCGGGACAGTGCCCTTTTAGTGCCCGCTGCCCTGCCAAAAGCTAAGTGTAAGCAGGCGGGGCCTATACAGGGCTCCTAACCCTAACCCAGCCCCAGCGCTCGTTGGGGGTGGTTCATACACAAGGTGTGGGTACGAGTTGAGTTTGGCATTTTACCTTCCTGCCTTTTATGAATTTTTCGCTGCACGCAAGGAAAGCAGCAGAAGCAGTAGAAATGTTTCTTTATCTCTTCCAAACTCCACCAGAAATTAGTCTTGTGAGACTCATCGCACCGGCGTAGCCTCTTGGAACAGTACCCTGCAAGGCTTGTTGTTATTGCACACGTGAACAGCAGCACCGCCATGAGTTTCATCACACTGGCGCAGCTGGCGTCCTGCCACTCGTGGCTGCGCCAGTATGTCGAACCTCACGTTGCAAGGCTTGTTGTGCTGTTGTGTCCAAGCAGTGGGACTGCTGTGAGGTTCGACATACTGGCACAGCTGTGAGCGGCAGGATGTCAGCTGCGCCAGTGTGATGAAGCTTGTGGTGGTGCTGCTTTGTTCTGTTCTGTTTGCCCCTGCGGCCATGCATGCACTTCCAGCCATGCTTCCCAGGACTCTGCACCATGCCGTCTGCCTAGTCACACTGCTGCGACCAGATGTCCTGCCGCTGTTGCCACCTCCCTGTTCTTTGTGCCGGACATGCACCTCACTGCCTGCCAGTGCCGCTTGGCCAGGAGAGCAGCCTGCTGATGAGCGGCTGGCCAGCGCTGTCCTGACGTGTCCCGCTGCTGCCTCCCTGTTCTTCACGCCGGTCACACAGCTCATTGCCTGCCAGTGCCGCTCATGGCCAGACCCTGCCAGGAGAGCGGCCTGCTGATGAGCGGCTGGCTGGCGCTGTCCTGACGTGCCTGCTGCTGCCGCCATCCTGTTCTTCACACTGGTCACACACCTCGTTGCCTGTTGGTGCTGCTTGTGGCCA